GTGAGAGACACTGTACCTCCTGTACTGCAGGCGAGACAGGTTCAGCCGCAGTGGGCAGTACGGGCTGTCTGTGTGGCACATATAGTGTTGGTGTGATGTGAGAGACACTGTACCTCCTGTACTGCAGGCGAGACAGGTTCAGCCGCAGTGGGCAGTACGGGCTGTCTGTGTGGCACATATAGTGTTGGTGTGATGTGAGAGACACTGTACCTCCTGTACTGCAGGCGAGACCGGTTCAGCCGCAGTGGGCAGTACGGGCTGTCTGTGGGCGAGCCTGCCGGGCGGCGCCCTGGCGGGGGGTGCGGGCTCTGTGTCCGGCTCGGGCTCGTCTGCCTTCTCTTTGTCTACTCGGACTTTTTCCTGTGAAATTAATAATGTTTGTATTGTAAAGGTAATGTGTTTGAAATCAAGTAATTTTGACGCTTCTAAAAACTCAAAATAATATTAGCAGTCAATTAGTGAATCTACATAGATGCTTGGTCTTAAATACTTTGAGGATAAAGTCTATTTTACTTTAAGTTGCAATAAAACTAATGTTACGTTTTTTATATAAAATATGATGTAATTACGTACCTTCTGTGATAAGTCTTTGTCCAAGGCCTCTCTTTGTTGCCTTATCCTCTGTACAGACTGTAGCGCTTCCTGAAATGATACAAATAATAACTTACAGATTCTATACAATCACATACATTGTCATGAAATACTTTAATATGAAAGAAAGAAAAACCATTCATTTTGCTACGACACAACAAGAATTTAGAAACACCAAAAAAGCTTATGGTGGGTCGCAGCGCGAAAGGCTGGAGCTCAGCTTAATATTCAGCACCACCCCAAGCCCAATATAAAAAATTGTTAGTTTCAGACATAATAATCAAACAAACCTAAAGATACTCATTATTGAAAATATTTAAAATTATGTTACAAAAATAAACAACAAAAATGAACTCTATTCCGGAATAATTAAATTCTAATTCACAAAAAACATTACTATTTCTACACAAAACTTGCCTGTTCCTTTTCCTTAGCCATGTTTTCAAACTTGGCCCTTAGCGAGGATGGCTTGGCGCCGCCTATGTCCGGCTTCTGCTTGGTATAGTCGGTGCCAACTTTCTCCACCTCATCGAACCGATGAGCTGACTTGTCCACCCTGTCAGTCTCCACTCCGAATTTACCTCCGAAACCCTGGAATGAGAAGGTCAATTGTCTATTGTTTCTTTACGAATACCTAATTGTGAGTCGATCGTGAGTTTTCAGTACAATCATTTACGTTAAGGCAGTTTTAATATTACTTTTTTCATTGCAATTGAATGAATATTTAACTCGTTGGTAGCGTAAAGGGAATAGGGGAACTAGCTTTTACCCGCGGCATTGCCCGCGTATTCCTGTTTGGAGCATTTGATTGGAATCAAAATATTATATCACCTAAGTTAATCCATATCCTGCCTGTATACCATCATTTTTTTGAAATCAAAATCCGTTCAGTAGTTTCTGCGTGAACTTTCACATTCATAATATTAGTGTGACACTTTGCCTAGTCAAGATGTTTTTATTAAAAAAAATAACTTTAATTCGACCTGTCACAAAAGAATGTGTACAATACAGTAATGTTTGTTTACCTTCTTATGATCAACTTGACTAGCATGTGCCTGAGTCTTCTCCTGATGGTCCCAGCCCACTGCGGACGCGTCCTGTCTATCCGTCTGCACGCCGTACTTACCTCCGAAACCGATCGCGTAGTCTAGTATGAAAAAACAAAAATATACATACTTTGACGCCGCAAAAATTCAAATCAAAAGCACCCTCATAAAACAGAATACATGAAAAGATTGATATGAATGTAGGTGAACCAGAATCAGAACAAATAATTAGAGAGTATTTTTAATATGATAAAAACCTTAACTAATTCAACTCCGGTATTAACGCAACCGTAACGCTACTTTTTTTTGGTTGTTTGGGGTATGACTGCCTCGTTGCCCGAGTGGTCGCAAGTGCGACTGCCGGGCAAGGGGTCTCGGGTTCGATTCCCGGGTCGGGCAAACTATTACTGGGTTTTTAACTCGTCGAGAACCGTCATTATAGACACAATTATAGAACAATAGGTTGCGGTCACCGGTGACCGCTTGGTGTTTGACAGTTTAAAAAAAATTCTCAGTGATAGCACGGAGTCTGGAATTGTGCCCGGTATATGGCTATAGGCTCACCCCCTATTACATGGAACTCATAACATAAATAGTGAAAAGTGGGTGTGACATTGTACAGTGGCATAATGTGCACCTCTGCCTACCCCTTCGGGGATAAAAGGCTTGATGTTATGTATGTGTTGTTTGGGGTATAACTCTCTAAAAGTTAGACGGGAAATGCAACAAATTTGAATGATACACAAAATTGTTCACGGTTGAATTGATGCTCCTGAATCGCACAATGAGTTCCTTCGTATTTTTGCTCCTGACAATTGCTGACGCAACAGAAAGCACCAGTTATTTGCTGTACCGTCTTGCAGAACAGTCAGTAGAGCTAAATCCCCGTTACCACGCACGATGAAACTTTTAAACCGATTCTTGGATTCAGCGCCAGAGTGTGACGTGTTCTCGAGTGGAAGATTATCTTTGTCAGAATGCTTGAAGGTTTGTGAAAGAGATCAATGAACTATAGTATCTAATAATGATTAAGTTTTTTAATTGAATATGTATTGAGTAGTGTCATTGGTTTTTTGTACAGTTCTATTCGTATAAATAAATTATAAATAAATAAACTCCAATTACTTCAAACTTTGAGTTATTCTTTTTTTATGGCATAAGCCGGTAAACGAGCAGACGGATCACCTGATGGTAAGCAATCGGCGTCGCCCATGGACACCTGGAACACCAGAGGCGTTACAAGTGCGTTACCGGCCTTTTGGGGATAAGGAGTTTAAGGATCGTTGGGGATTCAGGGATTGGGGAGATTGGGGAAGGGGAGGGTAATTGGGCCTCCGGTGACCTCACTCACACGACGAAACACAACGCAAGCGTTGCTTCACGTCGGTTTTCTGTGAGGCCGAGTGTCGAGCCGGCCCATTCGTGCGGAAGCATGGCTCTCCCACACTTAAAAATGACTATAAAATATTCTAACAATTCCCAACTTATTTCTATAAAACTGATAATCATATTCAAGAAAGACAGACAGGATTAAACTGTTCTAATTGTCTGTAATTTGTTGGAGTTTTTATTTATTTTAATGTATTACCTTTCTGCGACTGATGGTGGTGCGAGTCCTCCCTGTGGTCCCAGCCTACAGCGGAAGCATCCTTCCTGTCAGCTTGTACCCCGAACTTCCCTCCGAAGCCGTGCGAGTAGTCCTTCTGGGAGGAGTGCTTCTCTACTTGTTCTTTGTGCTCCCAACCGGCCGCGCTCTGATTGAGGGTAAAATTACATTTATAGACTAGTGCAAATTGACTGTTTATGGAAACGTATAGGAGATATGCGAGGAGAGACCGCCTCGTTGGCCGAGTCGCAAGTGCGAGTTCGATTCCCGAGTCGGGCAAAGTATTGCTGGGTTTGTAAAAACCGCAGTAGTGGCACGAAGTCTGGAAATGTGCCCGGTATATGGCAATAGACTCACTCCCTATTACATGGGACTCATAACTTGAATAGGGAAAAGTGGGTGTTACATTGTACAGTGGCATAATGTGCACCTCGGCCTACCCCTTCGCGGAAAAAAGGCGTAATGTTATGTTATTTATAAACATCACTTACTTTACCAAAGAGATCACCTAATGGCAGTCATGACTCATAACATATGTATGCAGACGTTTATACTTTATAGGTGAAATCTATCGAACACACAGCGTGCCATAACTTTGTTTGTAATTTAAATACCATCACTGCCACTCAACCAACGATGCAATTTGCTCGCAGGTTAGTTTAACGTACATTCATCATAACATCACGCCTTTTTTCCTCGAAGGGGTAGGTAGAGGTGCACATTTTTTTTTCTTTTTCAAAAAACGTTGCCCCACAATACGATTTTCTCCTGTGTCGTTTGTGCGTTTACAAACTTACAAGTTCACATACACATGACACCCAGACCCGGAACAACAATTTGTGGATTACACAAAGAGTTGTTCCGTGCGGGAATCGAACCCGCGACACGTTGCGAAGCAGCCGGTTGCCAACCGTGCAGTCAAAGTGGGTGTCACATTATGCCACTGTACAATGTAACTCCCACTTTTCACTATGTATTTATATTATGAGACCCGTGTATTAGGGGGTGACTCTATTGCCAAATTCTATAGTTAAATATGCTATGCTCACCTTATCAACTCTATCAGTTTGCACCCCATACTTCCCCCCGAAGCCCTGCGCGTAGTCAGTCTGCGAGACATGCTTCTCCACCTTCGCGACGTAATCGTGACCTACAGCTGACTTGTCCATGCGGTCCGCTTGCACGCCATATTTGCCACCGAAACCTAAGAGTAATAATAAAATATGAGAAAAAAGTACAAATTAATCAAACAAATAATTAAGTGTGGAAGAGCCATGCTTCGGCACGAATAGGCCGGCTCGACCGGAGCGATACCACCGCCGAGCAGAAAACCGACGTGAAGCAACGCTTGCATTGTGTTTCGTCGTGTGAGTGAGGTTACCGGAAGCCCAATTACTCCCTCCCCCTCTCCAGTTTCCCCAATCCCCGAATCTCCCACAATCCTCAAATTCCCAATTCCCAATAGGCCGGTAACGCATTTATAACGCATTCCAGGGGTACATGGGCGACGCCGATTGCTTACTATCAGGTGATCCGTCTGCTCGTTTACCGACTTATCGCATAAAAAACCAATGAGAGCGCCGAACGCGATCTCGTTTCAATTGGGTAGGTACTTGCCAACTAGGTAAATTCAATACTTTTTTCAAGCTGTCATAGTTTTATATGAATTTTGTACGAGATTCTGTATTGTGTCGTCACTTTTTTTAAGCGTCAAACAACATACTTATTTCCTAAAAAAATGCTGGATAAATATTAAAATTAAGTTGGTCATAAAACCAACTAATGAAAGTTTGATTATTTTTTAATATTTTATTGTATTGTACATTCGAAATAATTTATTTTTGGTTAAGGAAAGTACCCAATAAGTTTAAACGTAACACATACTCGTACTAAGGCCTAAGGTTTATTAGATAGTGGTGCTAATGTCTGTCAAATGTGTAGTGATTTGTGGAGGCTCTCATAATACTTGCGAGGAGAGGTGAGTAAATATTTATTGGCGTTTATTAAATTAATGTACCTTGAGCATAATCCTTCTGCGAGACATGTTTCTCAGTCTTGCCGACATAGTCGTGTCCGACCGCGGACTTGTCCATGCGGTCCTCTTGTACGCCGAATTTACCTCCGTAACTAAAACAATTCATGTAAATTACATAACATAACATCACGCCTTTTATCCCCAAAGGGGTAGGCAAATGTGCACATTACGCCACTCAATGCCACTAGACAATGTAACACCTTATCACTATATATGTTATGAGTCCCACGTAATAGAGGGTGAGTCTATTGCACTACACCGAGCGAATTCCAGACTTCGTGCTACTACTGAATTTTCTTAAAAAACCCAGTAATACTTTCCCCGACCCGGGAATCGAACCCGAGAACCCCTTGCCCGGCAGTCGCACTTGCGACCACTCGGCCAATGAGGCAGTCATGTAAATTATGTCATGTATAACCATATTTGTTTATCAATTGAGGGATGCCTGTTCAGTTATGGACGGGCACGGACTAATAAAGATGAATAGTTTTAAAGTATTGCCTTATTACAGAATGCTTGCTACACAATAGTTTTAGTTGAAACTAAGTTTATGTAACTGATCTTCTTAACTTAAACACTCCATTGTAGCATATAGTAATTATTTTGGCCCAACAGAGCACCATTTAATTATCATTAGTTATTGAACAACTTGCTTCCATCTAGTTACCTCCATCGGCTCGGCCGTGAGAGCATAACACTTTCTCATTTATAACAATAGCTAATTCATAACTTTCATACAATGACTATCTTTGTTCATTGAAATTATTCAACTAATCTAAATCTACATAATACTAATTATGTGTGATTACATAAAAAACTGGGCAAGCGTGCGTCGAACTCGCGTACGAAGGCTTTCATAATTTCACAGCAGAACAGGGGTTTTTTTTTTATGAGGGGAAAATCATCGAATGACTGCTCCCGCCTGGGTGAGGCGGAAGGGAATGTCAAACTCTTACTGACTAAAAACCACCCCGTTCCTTCTCCTGCACGTCGAGCCGGAGCCCCGGTTACCCGTTAGGTTCTCCGCGACTCCGAATCGGCATCGGCCCTATTGGGCCCCATCTGTGCTGGTCTGATGGCTCTTTGAGGCGCGCGCGGAACGCGACGCGCCGTACGCTCGAGCAGAACAGGGGGTACAGTATTCATAGTCTCGCTTTTACCTTTTGGTCACGAAACCCTAATACAATAACATTACGTACCCGAAAGAAGGTTTGGGTCCAGCTTCATACTGCTTCTTCTTTATCTGAGAGTCAGCTTCCAGTACTTCCTCTCTTAGCTTTGCCATACTGTAAACAAATGATTACATTTTAATTCTATTTCTTGGAACTGAATACAGTATTCAGAGAGTACAGTTATTGTTATTTTGTTATATTATTGTTTTTATATTTCACGAAGCCATATCTTTTGTAACCTTTGGTCTGCCAATTTTTTTTTATGGCATAAGCCGATAAACGAGCTGATGGATCACCTGATAGTAAGCAATCGGCGTCGCCATGGACACCTGGAACACGAGAGGCGTTACAAGTGCGTTACCGGCCTTTTGGGGTTTTGGAGTTTGAGTATCGTTGGGGATTCAGGTATTGGGGAGATTGGGGAAGAGGAAGGAGGTAATTGGGGCTCTGGTAACCTCCCTCACACGATGAAACACAACGCAAGCGTTGCTTGACATCGGTTTTCGGTGAGGCCGTGGTATCACTCCGGTCGAGCCAGCCCATTCGTGCCTAAGCATGGCTCTCCCACCGGTAGGTAACCAATACTTACTGTCTCTATACTGAATCAATCTCTATTTACTTGCCTGCATATAAAATAACTTGACCAATTCTATATGCTTACACATATGTACAGTCAGTACTTACATACATATAAATATAAATGAATGAATATCTCAAACATGATTCATTTGACAAAAGAAAATATGTCCCACACATTTCCTGGCAGTTAAATATCAATTTGTTATATTTAGCACTGTATGCGGGATACTGAAGGGCAATGCCATTGCCGGCGGGGACACTTCCTTTAGTCATGGTCAAGGGATGAATTCGTAACAGCAAATAGTGGGAAAATTCAGCATGACTGCATGGTTGCTACATTAGCGAGTCATGGGATAGATTCCTGTCTGTCCGCCGCCCATGGACACCCGAAACACCAAGTTGTTATAATTGCGTTACCGGCCTTTTGGGAATTGGAAATTTGAGGATTGTGGAGGATTCGGGGATTCGGGAGACTAGGGAGGGGGGTAATTGGGCCTCCGGTAACCTCACTAACACGACGAAACACTACGCAAGCGTTGTTTCACGTCGGTTATCTGTGAGGCCGTGGTATCACTCCGGTCGAGCCGGCCCATTCGTGCCTAAGCATGACTCTCCCACACTTGATGTGTATAGGAATTTGTATGTTTGTGAAAACATTCACATCACCAGATTAGGAGCACAAAAGCTTCGTGTGGATGTGTTTTAAGTGTTCATTGATGTAAAGATAAAATTATTATTAGCCTGCTTGTCTGGGAAGCCGAGAAATATCACAAGAAGCCAGGGCGTGCCACTAACATAGTAAATAAATGAGTAACAATAGTACAAATATCATTTATTATGATTTCCCTAAACTGAAACTAATTTTAGTTACTTGAGGAAAATGTGTATGGGACAATACTTGATATATGAATTATTTCCTGCAACTAACATTTTTTTTTTTTTTTTTTAAACGTTGCCCCACACTAGGATTTTCTCCTGTGTCGTGGGTGCGTTTACAAACATACAAGTTCACATACACAATGACACCCAGACCCGAAACAACAATTTGTGGATCACACAAAGTGTTGTCCCGTGCGGGAATCGAACCCGCGACACGTTGCACGGCAGCCGGTTGCCCAGCCACCGCACCAACCGTGCAGTCAAACATTAAATTGTGTGCATTACGTAAAAACTGTATTTTTAATGAAAAACATAGATATGTTCCTATACACTAGGTAAAGAATGACTGAATAGATAACATTACAATAATTTAATTGTCTAATACCTTTTTTTATTAATTTTGACATTACATTAAACTGTCAAACACCAAGCGGTCACCGGTGACCGCAACCTATTGTTCTATAATTGTGTCTACAAAACCGGTACTCGACGAGTTAATAGTAACCTAACAAAACGCCCTTCCTCTCTCCTACCAATTTTAAATGTTGCTGTGTCGACAGGGTCCATAATTGTTACTATTGTATTTTCTAACCACCTGTGTATGTACATTATGGATGCAATAAATACTTGATTGCTTGATGTTTATTCAGATGAATGTCATCCGATTCTGTAGTGTAAGTAATAATTGTTTTTATTTTTTTAAAGTGCCACATCATACATTTCTTCACCAAAATTGAATAAGCATTTTATGCAAAAATGTATCTACATAAACAAACTCAACTTTGCATTTAGAATATTGATCAGCCAGCACTTCTGTATACAATTGCAAAACATCAGTTAACAATGATTTTTGTTCTTTAAACTTTTGCAAACACAAATAACTAAAAATCCTTACTAATATTATAAATTGGAAAGTGAGTTTGTTTGTTTGTTCCGCTTTCACGCCGTAACTACTAAACCGATTGCTTTGAATTTTTGCAGACGTAAATTTAGAAGTCTGGATTAAATAATAGGGTACTTTTTATCCCGGAAAAATTGATATTCCCGAGGGAAAACAAAAGTATTGGTATAGATGGCGCTGTGTGTATTGGTATACGTCACATAGGCTACTTTTTATCATTTTGTGACGCGAGCGAAGCCGCGGGTAAAAGCTAGTGAATTATAATCTCAAAGACAGAAAGTTTAAAATTTATGTAACAGAAATTGTTTATTACTCAACAAGTACCGAGTTCTCCGCTATTGAATATTGAATTCTAATACTCACTCGATAGCCTCGACATTCCGTCCTCCCGGTCCCCATCGTTGTTCATGTTCCGTGACATCATTCACGAAGTCTGGATCTGTCTCCCAATCGTCTGCCTCAGGCATTGCTGGGGGAGCAACGTCCGTTGCTGCTTTCCACATCTACAATCATGAATAATATGATTTAAATATAATACTACCTTCATCCTATCAGCCACAGAAGACGTAAATAAAACACAACACATATATATTCCTGAGTGGTTCATTTTCCGTACATAGTTTCCTCAAATTAATATTAGAGGAAGTACTGGAAGTTGACTCTCAGATAAAGAAGAAGTACAAAGTGTAAAACGCCTAAAAGTTTGATTTAACCCATATATCCCTAAGCATTCACCGATGACTGCTCTCCACTATCTACATTATAATCCTTATTTCCAATGTTTAGAGACTACTTTTGTATGAACAAATTTAGGGGACAATTTTCAACAATTTTCAACGGGTTTAATATCATGCTGTCTCTGTCATTTTATGAAGAATTTGCAGAGACAGAACTACTCTTGAAAGCATTTAAAAACTGTGTTTTGATTGAGTATTTCACCATAACTAATTTACAAGTATGCTGGCTAGATACAGCAAAAGATCGAGAAAGATGACAATCTTTGGAGAAGGCCTTCAACTCAGCGATGCCCTCAAACTAAATCTTTCAATATAAAAAATATTTTTTGGAAATGTATATTTTTTTTAAAAATTGGGAAATACAATATAAGGCTTTTTTATTTTTATTTATTTATTATTTAACTTACATTTGACCGACCTAAATAAATTATAAACATTTTGAACTAGAACAGTTAGCACTTAATAAGAATTTATAATTGTAGTAGCACTTATGGAGCACTTAACCCATATAGACCTACTGTACCACATGTGGTACAGTAAGTTTATAAAAATATTTTGGCCTACCCACAAATTAATATTTTATTCTTTTAATTGTAACAATTAGTTCAGAGTGTTAGCTTTCCATTTACAATAATACAACAGTATTTTTATGCAAATTTCGTTGAAAATTTTATCGGAGACACCCAGCTAGGACTACAGGAAATATATACAATGACTTCGAAAAGGTAAGTTCCATATTATTTATTGTAAATAATATTATTTTTCGTTACTATTTTGCAGAGTAGGTCTAAAGAAATATTATACATGTAAACAATTTTCGGTAAGGTTAGTTTAGTAAGATATATTTGGTCGTAAAGAAGGTGTACCGCATATGGTACAGTAGGTTTATGTAACATCAACATCTTCTTGTACCTACTATCTAGTATACTAATAGATAACTATATCTAAACCTGATTTTATTTTATTTTTATTTCAGACCACTGACACTGCACGAAATTGCAATAGTTCTTGAAGAAGATGATGATATGAGTAATCAGGGAAGAGATATTTTTTTACTACCAGCACTATACTGACAGTATCCCTGCCCATGAGGATCGAACTGATGAAGACTCGTGTGGAAGATAACATCGATATAAATAATTTGCCTGTTGAGACACATAGAAGAAAAAAAAGGAAAGAGGCTTCTACGATTATCGCGTCTCTGATGATGTAATAATTTGTAGGTGGTACGATAATAGCATGGTTTCAGTGTGTTCCAATGCAGTTGGCATAAATCCTGTACACAAAACTGAATGCTATTCGCAGGAACAAAAAAATAAAATATCTGTACCTTATCCCGGAATGTTTTAATATGTATCACACAAAAAAAT